GCCTGTATGTATACTGTGTTTGTTCCTAGTGCCCACAAGGTCAGAAGAGGACATTGGATCCTTTGGAACTGGAGTTACAGATAGTTGTGAGCCACACTGTATAGTTCTGGGTATTGAATGTGGGTTCTCTAGAAGAACAACAATAACCTTTAATCATTAACCCGTATCTCCAGATTTTTCACCCTTTCTCAAAGAGTGACTTTGTCCTAAGTAATCACAATACCCTTATAATACCTAGAAGATTCAACACTGATGTCTATCTAGTGCATGTCCAAATTTATTCAATTGTTTAAATAATATCATTTAAAGATTTAGATTTTTTTATTTTATACATGCGTGTCTCTGCGTGTGCACATGTGTGTGGGTGTATGTGGAGACTAGAAAAGAGCATTGGAGCGCATGGAGATGGAGTTGTAGGTATTTGTGAGATGCTCAGGGTTGGTGCTGGGAACCAAATATGGATTCTCTGAAAGAGCAGTAAGTGCTTTTAACCACTGAGTCATCTCTCCATCCTCAATCATGGCATCTAACTGGAGGTTTCTCCCTGGCGCATCAAAGAACTGCATTGAATTGTACTCTTTAATTTCCTTTATTCTAGAACACTTCCTTAGGCTTTTCTGTGACATTGGCCTTTCGTGTAGTCATGTTATGAAGTTGAGCTCCCACTAATGGGATGGATTGAAGATACCACTTGTGCCTGGTTTGGGGTCTGATGGATTTCCTGAATTATTTGAGCTTTGTTTGTATTTTCCTTTGTGGGAAACTGAGATTATTCTGTTTCTTCGACAGCCTAGTGGTGACTGTAGGAACTTACTAAGGATAAAAACTGCCTTTAAAAGACTTTTTCAAGCCTGGCACTGGTAGCCCACACCTTTAATCCCAGTACTCGGGAGACAGAGGCAGGTGGAGTTTGAGGACAGCCTGATCTACAGAGCAAGTTCCAGGCCAGTCAGTACTACCCAGAGAAACAAAAAACTAAACAACAACAAAAGAATTTCCCTTGGGGCTGGAGAGATGGCTGCATGGTTAAGAGCATTTGCTGCCCTTACAGAGGACCTGAGTTTTATTTCCAGCACCCACATCAGATGGCCTACAACTGCCTATAACTTCAACTTCAGGGAATCTGATACCCTTGTCTGGCCTTGGAAGGCACCTGAACACATGTGCACACACACATACACATAAATAAATAATGAATCTTTAAAAAAGACATTTCTGAGACGTATAGCTCATGTAAGCCTTCATGGGAAAGGGTGGTTAATTAATATATACCCATTGACAAAAGATTTGGTTCTGGGGACTGCATGCTAAGCACATGTTCTACCACTGAACTATATCCCAGTCTCTCATTGGATTTTATTGGATAAAATTATGCCTAGAATGTATTGGCATTTAATCTGAATATTTAGCTGTGTCTTAAAAGAAAATCAGCTAGGCATGTTAGTACACAACTACATTCCTAGCACTCAGATTCAGAGGCAGGGGATCATGACTTTAAAGGTGAGTCTGAGCTATATAGAGAGACACTGTCCCCTAAAACAAAAAGAAATGGAAACTAAAGAAAGGAAGGTGGGGAAGGGGTTGGAAATCAGTGAATTAACTGGTTTCTGCCAGCTAGAGTCTGCAAGGTGGAGTATCTGTATTGTTCTCCTGGTCCTCAAGCTGACTCATTAATGTACATGAGGGGCTGTATAGATTGGAGGTAGAGTACTTCCTTGTTATGTGTCAGATCCTTGGCTTAACCCCTTGCACTCCAAGTTTTTAAGTTGTATTCCCAATCCCCTCCCCCTCAGAAAAGGCAGATGGTGTTTGCTGGATTGTAACATCTGTGTTTGCAGGAGTGTGTGTGTTTGGGTATGTGAGACAGGGTCTCCCTGTGTAGCCTATGTGCTCCTCTTTCTCCAGCCCTCAGTATGCACCATCTTGCCCCTGTTTTTGTGTTTACAATATTGACTTGAGCAGTTAGGCAGTGACTTGGAATGGCCAAGGTCAAATTTCTCAGTGAGTGACAGCAGAGTGGTGTGTGAATTGGAAATGACATACCAGTGATGCTGAGGATGGCTTCGTTGACTCTGAAGTGATATCACAGGTGCAGTGTTCCTCTGAGAGCTCAGGGAATAACTCGATTTCAGCCAGAAATAGGAAGCCTTCTGGGCCGATTTCCTGATTAAGTTGACATGATTTGATCTTCTATTTAGTTTTTTTTTTTTTTTTTTTTTAAAGACAGGCTCTCATTTAACTCAGTTTGGCCTCAAACTCCCCATATAGTTGAGGATCACATTGGGCTTCTGATACTTTTGCCTCTGTCTGATTACAGGCTGCCATGCCTGGTGTTTTTGGTGATAGATATGGAACCAAAGCCCTTGGCCATGCTGGACAAGCATTCTGCTAACTAAGCCTTGCGCTATTTTTCTTGTGTTAGATTCTTTCTAAATATATATCTCTGACTTGGGTGCAGAGTCTTGGGGATGCAGCAGATTTGTGAAGTTGTAGCTGATGCTGAATTACCAGTAGCATTTAACTAGGCTCTGCTCACTGATGTGATTTCTGTGCTGACGCCACTGTGCTGCTGACCTGTTGACCCCCGTGTTAGCTGTAATTGTTGACTGGGGGAAGCAGCCATCTCTGATGCCTGGGGTTTCACAATGCTGCACTATCATTTTCACCGTCTCGGTCTACTCCCAGTGAAAGAATGCACAGTGGTTCTTGTTGTGCATTGTGTGAGCTCTAGAATGCTCTACTTGAATTTTTGGGATTCTGTTACTAGTTTCCTTTCACCTAGTCTAGTCTTACTTTTCATAGTCACAGTTATCTTCCATTTCACTGGGACTTCTTACTGTGTGAGCAAGTTACTTCAATCTCTGAGCCTCAGCTGTGTCACCTGAATGTTGGAATCATATCACTAGGGCCCTGCATTAGAGGGGTTTTAGTGAGAGTTGACATAATCTTTTCTTTTCTTTTCTTTCTGCACACAAGTGTTTTATCTACATGTATGTCTGTATACCATTATGGATGTCAGAAGAAGGCATAGCATTCCCTCAGGATTGGAATTACAAATGGTTGTGAGTCACCATGTGGATGCAGGAAATCAAACCTGGGTCCTCTGAAAGAGCAACTAGTGCTCCTAACCACTGAGCTATCTCTTCAGTCTGAAGTAGTCTGTTTGTTTTTAATAATGGCCTCCATGCGTGGAGGTCCTAATCTTAAAATCTGTCATCTCATTTCACCTGAACTGAAAAATCTTCATAAAGTAAGAAGTTTAGTAGCCCATGTGAAAGTAATGATAATGATATTTTGCAAGCACTTGCAGTGTTCTAGATTCCTACATCTTTAATTTAATCCTGAATATAATGTTACAAAGGTGTATAGTATAATTTCCATGTTGTAGATTCGAACATATTATAGAGATGAAATTACTTTAGAAAATTTACACAGCCAATGATAGTATGGGGTTTAGAATCATATTATACTTCAATTTATATATATATATATATATATATATATATATATATATATATATATGTGCCTGCTTGTCTGTGCACCATATGAGTGCACAGTGTCCCTGGAAGCCGGAAGAAGGTTACAGACACTTGTGAGCTGTCTGATGTAGGTGCTAGAAACTGAACTTCAGTCCTCTACAAGAGGGACAAATGCTCCTAACCACTCTCCATCCATCTCTCCAGCCCCTATGCTATACTAGATTATTCCCACATTTTGTTTTAGCTGGGGTAAGCTTGGGTAGAAATTGATCCATTAAAATCTGTACCTTAACTTGGTAGAGAGGAATCAGAACCTAAATATGTTTGGTTTCAAACTGTGTCTTTAATTGTCATAGTATACTGGCTCTAGGCTGCTTAGAGCAGTAAGTCGCCTGCTGTGATGGTGTGGAATGGGTCAGTTGTGATCCGTGTCATTACTAATAGGATATCTCTGTTATGATAGTGGGGAGTGGATCAGTTGTCGTTTGTGTCATAGCTGTGCGCACACAGGAATGGAAAAAAAAAAAGATTGCTTAATCAGCTGTTACACAGGGAGAAAAACAGGCTTTTAGCAACTAAATATATGACGTCTCTGACTCTTTCACAGGATCCTTGACCCTTGCTGGAGTTTTTAGTGACAATGTTCGTGTTAAAGTACATAGGCCATTTCTGTCAACCTGGCAGGACTCAGGTTGTTCAAGATGCCAGTAACTAGTGGTTGTAATTAGAGAAGGATGTTGACTAAGGACGAATCAACACCTTGTTTCTCCAGTCATTTCTAATGCTTTTGTTTCTATAGTGGGGTTCCTTTGAGGTTTGGCTTTCATGTTCTTTTTTGTTTGTTTGTTTTTCAAGACAAGGTTTCTCTGTGTAGCTTTGGAGGTTGTCCTGGAACTCATTCTGTAGACCAGGCTGGCCTCCAACTCACAGAAACCCATCTGCCTGAGTGCTGGGATTAAAGTTGTGCACAAACAATGCCCGGCTGCTTCCATGTTCTTGTAACTAACTTGTGTCAGATGTCTGATTTCTCTCTCTACTTCTGTCTACATAGGTTTGGGATGATATGGGAAATGGGCATGTGAAATGCTGTGTCTATAAAAAGGAAAGTCTGGGGGCTGGAGAGAGAGGTCAGTGGTTAAGAAAGCTTGCTAATATGAGAACCAGAGTTTTTAGATCTCAGCACCCATGTGACAAGTCTAGGCATTCTGCAAACACCTATAACCCCAGCTTTGAGGGGTTTAGTGCCCTCTGCACACAGGCATGCACATCTACATACTCATTTAGTATGTACATAGGTCTCATAAGTACATGCACACACATTAATAAAATAAATACTAAAAGGACAGGAAAGTTGTCTCTATTGCTGATGCAGGGCCAGCTAACACAGGCAGGACTTAGGCACTTCTAGTATTAGGCTGTTCTTGAACGAGATAGCTGGATCTCTACTAAAGGGATTATTTTGTGGACACTTGCAACCTTGGAATAGATGTGAACTGATGAAGGCTCTCTGTTCTTTTGCAGGAAGGATGCGAACGCAGCACTGCTCAGTAACTATGAGGTAAGAACCCTGTAGTGGCTGTTGTATTTCCCTCTTCTGGTTTAGTCTTTGCTTGTGAAGATGTTGGATTAGTTTTCTTTAGAAGTGACAACTCATTTAAAGTTTCCACTTAAAAAAAGGGCAGGTGGCCCCTGGTGGATCTTGGAATAGTCTAAATTTGGTGAATTACACATGGTTCATTAAGGAAGCAGGGAGCCTCATAAGAACTGTTCCATAAATCTCAGAGTCCTGGAAGAAGAGCGGCTGCTTTAGAGCTACTTCTTTCTATTACAATCTTAGCCCTTTCCTAACTACTATTTTATCTTGATCTTCAAAGGGCCCCAAAGGTGTTGACCTGACTGATCATTTTGAATAAGTTAGTAAGAATGAGCAGCTTAGTAATTTGGGGGTTGATGGAGAGAGAGGAAAGGGGTTGATGAGAGGGGAGGTGTTAGCATTTTTACTGCCTTCTATTTTGCCTGGGTCTAGTTTGGTACTAGCAAAGCAGTCTGATAGGGTAGGCAGCTCCAGGTGTAGAAGGCCCTGCTTATAAATTCACTGTCAGTTTCCATGTTACAGTGAAAACTCAAAGTCTTTGAGGAGGTCTGGGTCTCCATTCTG